AACCCGGAAAAACCACCTTAGAGTTTTCCGATTTCCTTCATATTTTAATGACATAATATTGTTTTGAGTACAATAAGATGGCAAAATTTCAAGTCGATATGTCAAAGGGTTCCGGAGATATATCGATTTATGATTAACACAGAGTACAGACAGACAGACAGACAGACAGACCACACACAAAAACCAAAGTTGCTCAAAATTCGATGGGGATCATTTTCTCCAAAGCAACTATACCTCTATCTCGCTTAGTTTCCGAGATAGCATTTTTGGCACGGCCGTAGTATACTCCACTATGTATAGCGTCGTATAACAAGCTTCGATTTCCATCTAGCTCCCTCTTCTCAAATATATGAAGAAGGATCATATCTTCACAAACGTACTGACCTAACTTGATGAGCGTAGCCCCGTTGAATTTTCTATCAAATGCTGTTTCTATCAAGTGCATTTTCTATCAAATATTTTTCCTATCAATTGTATTTTCTATCATTTATGTTTCTTTCAAATGTATTTCCTATCATGAAACATTCGATCAAATGCATTTCTATCAAAAACACTTTCGATCAAAAGACTTCTATGAAATGATTTTCTATCATTTGTCTTTCGATCAAATTTCCGCCACCCGTCCTAACGGATCCCGTTCATTTTGTTCCTTATTCGCCAAAACTGTAGGAAGGAACTTCACTTTCAGCTCGTTTCCTCCTCTAACCAAGGAAGATGGAACACTAGCCACAACTGCCCAGGAGAATGCCAACATTTTTGCGTATCCATATGCTGGAAATTTCACTCTGGATTCTTCGGGAGAACGAATTCCAAACATAATTGACAGTCGTATGAATGAGATCACCTTCCGCTCACGTACTATAAGGAAGATTTTATTGGGTCTCAACACCAACAAAGCTTGTGTCTCTGACGGAATCCCACTGATTGTTTCCCAGGAATAAACTCCCGAACTAACACATGTTCTCTACTCTTACGAATTGGCGGCTAAAAAATTGCAATAGTACAACCAGTTCCTAAAAAAGGCAAAAAGAACCTAACAGGAAATCACAGACCGATCGCACTGCTATCTATAATTTCAAAGATCATGGAGAAAGCTATCAACATCATGCTCAAGAAATACCTGGAACATTCAGGTATTTTCAACAATAGGCAATATGGCTTTCGTCATCAGAGATCAACTGGTGACCTGCTCGCTTACGCCTCACATATATGGCAGCAATCTATTGAAAAACAGTGTGAAACCTTAGCCGTGGCATTTGATATCTCCAAGGCATTCGATCGAGTCTGGCATCATGGACTCTGCGTCAAGCTCCCATCCTATGGCTCGCCTCCTCAGCTATGTTCTCTGCTAGCTAGTTTTATCCCAAACAGGTCTCTCCATGTAGTGGTCGACGGAGTTTTATCTGACTCTCTTATCATAAATGTTGGTGTTCCGCAAGGATCCATTTTAGCACCGACATTATTTCTACTTCATATCAACGATTTGTTGGAAGCAACTTCATGTCCAGTACACAGCTTCGCCGAGGATAGTACCATACATATCGCCTCCTTTTCCAGGGCTCCAATGCCAGCCAGGCAAATCAGAAACGAACGAGGAAGAAATGTTGACAACATAAATAATATGGACTTGGCAATAATTCTCGAATGGGGATCCAATAACTTGGTAGATTTCAATTCAAACAAAACACAAGCATGCTTATTCTCTATAGAAGAGCCGATCTTACTGTGCCCAACATGAGCTTGTCAGGAGTAACCATACCTTTGAAGACATCCATTTCGATGCTTGGTATTACTACCAGCAATAACCTTTCTTGGAACAATCACGTAAGATCATTTGCTAAAAGTGCATCTCAAAAACTTGATTTTCTGTTTCGAGCCAGGAGCTATCTCACTTCCAGTCAGCTGCTCATGATCTATGAGGTACAGATCCGACCTGTACTGGAATACTGTTTCCATATTCGAAGAGCAGCTCCCAAACATATCCTGCAACTGTTAGATTTTGTCCAAAAAAAGGCAATCCGTCTCATGGGTAATGTCCCGCTCATAATCTAACTCACTTATCTGGAACACCGTGGAAAAGTTGGCGATCTGACTTTATTTCATGAATATTTCCATGGACGATGCTCTTCTGAAATATCAACAATTGTGTCTCCCTTAGCAGTCCCCCCCAGATTAATCCGTCGAGATGAGGCTTCGCAATCCTTCGTGGTCACTTTGGAGACCTGCAGAACATCTCTTTCCAAAGACTCGTTCATCCAACGAACAGCGAGGCTCTGGAACACATTGCCTAGGAAGGTGTTTTTCGAGGCCTATAACCTCCAGAAATTTGAGAAGAACACCAATTTCTACCTCATTTCTCTTGGTTCTCACGATGTTCTCTGAACATTACAGAATACCCCTTTTTGTGGAACCAGAACATGAAGATATATAAAAGAATTCCTCAACCAGATATAGCAAAAAATACTGGAAGGGTGTATTTGTCATACAATTCGAAACCAACAGAAGCAATCAAGAACACTTTCTTCTTACATGTTTTCATCGGCTGTAACACGGTATCTTCTCTCTTTAATCAAGGAAAAGCCAAATTCCTTCCAATGAATTTTTCTTTTAGGCTCTCTGATAGAAAAATCAAATTACCAGTATTCCACCTGATGAAGCTACTGTGTTAGCGGAACATGTTGAGCGAAAAAAAAAATTGTAGAAATCTTATCGTTTGTGAAGTTGTTACAATCATTACTATGTTATCATACGACGCTATACCTATATAGTGGAGTATACTACGGTCTTGCCAAAAATGCTATCTCGGAAAGTAAGCGAGATAGAGGTATAGTTACTTTGGAGAAAATGACCCCCATCGAATTTTGAGCAACTTTGGTTTTTGCGTGTGGTCTGTCTGTCTGTCTGTACTCTGTGGTAATCATGACTCGATATATCTCCGGAACCCTTTGACATATCGACTTGAAATTCCGCCATCATATTGTACTCAAAACAATATCATGTCATCAAAATATGAAGGAGATCGGAAAACTCTGAGGTGGTTTTTTCGTTTTTTTTTTCGATTTTTCACCGGAAGTTTCTTGTAACCACTCTACAAATCGCAAAAATGGTCCGATCGATTCAATTTTTTGTAAAAAAAAACTCTATCAGGGAGATACGAAGCCTATTGAAATTGAGCAGGGTCGGAAAATTCCAAATGTGTTTTTCAAGGAGATTTTCCGAAACACACGGTTCGCTACAAAACGACATATCTCCTGAACCAATAAACCAAATTTGAAAAATGGACCGTATGCCTCTTTGATGACGAAACAAATTATTTCATTACCATCTTCTCGTGCATCCATCGGAAAATGGAAAAACAAATGAAAATAAAAACATCAAAATTTGAAATCCTTTCAATGCAATATACAGGGTGGTCCGTTTTTTAATACGAAAAATTTAACAGCGTATAGTACTCGTTGAAGTAAGAAAAAAACCTCCTATAAACATATACTTTCAAACGCTTCGTTTTTGATATATTGGGTGTCAAGAATACGCTTCTGAATATATTTTTCTAATCAAAAGTTAGAAACGGTAGAGAAATAAACGAAATTTCTCACAGATACTGAACTTTTTGAGCTTCATCAGATTAAATAAAAATTATTCATAAAAACTATAACACAAATTTTTCGGGTAATTATTTTTCATTTATTTTCAATTTTCAATAAAAAAAGCTCGCTTGTTAAAATTTATAACATATTTTAGTTGAATAATACTACTTGATATCAATTAAAGAAGTAGGCTGCTCAGTCACTCTGGAAGTTTTGACAAAGAAATAACAAACTGGAGTTATTCCGTGGTTTAATCGAAAAGTGTAATATGTAATGTTATTCCAACTTTGCCGTTTGTCAATATGCCTATGGGATTTAGTACTGAAGAGTATGCAGATATTCATTTCGTATGGTTTCTATTTTTCTTCAGCTATCAGATAGGGAGTCTGAGAGGGCAAACAAATTTCATTTTGAAATGCACGCCCCTGAAAATATGTAACTCATTCATGAACTTCAATAGGTCTAAAAGTTAGCTCATTGATATTTCCACAATAGATGTGAATTTTATCACAATCGGTCATAGCATTTCTGAGAAATCAATAAATAATCGATTTCTTAAAGAAACTATAAACACCCTATATCTCGAAAACGAAGCGTTCAAAAGTATATGTTCATAGGAAGTTCATTTATTATTTCAACAAGTACTATACGCTATTAGATTTTCCGTATTAAAAAACGGACCACCCTGTATATCGAAAACAAATGGAAAAATCGAAAATCATCTGGAGTGCAAAGTTATCCACTGGAACATTTCCTACAAATTATTACCCATATTTTTGATGTTAACCCAATAGTACAGGGAATGAAGTAAAAAATATGAAAAAAAAAATTTAACGACCCATAGGGTACCATGAAGATATATTGAAAAACAAAGATTATCGATAGATGAAGACTTCCACTGAACCATGAAATATTTTTTCCTCTTGTTGATTGGAAAATGGAACAAAAGTGTTGAAAATTTCATTCTCAGATAATTCCCTTCAAAAACTACGTACCTCATCACTTGTGTCATACTACAAGAATTTTGAACATTATAAAAACATTGTGTTTTGCTGCGTTTTTTGTTCACGAAATCTGTTTTTTTCTTCACTGAATTCATTCGAAAGTCTCAACTGTCAATGAATTCAAAAAATTGGACCCTTATACTCATTTATGTAAGTCTTGACTTATTCATTCCTGATTCACATATTCTTGATCATTGAATATATCAACGTAATGGTGACTGCTATCCGAATATATTATACATAAATCGAGTAGAATGAATGATGAAAAATGTTGATGAGGGATTTTCTTTGTGATCTTCAAATGTTTGCCAATATACTCATTCGAAATCTAGGTACATTAGAAAATGAAGGGGATGGAAAATATAAGGAACTACTTGTTCAATGATTCTTCAACATATAGTTAACTCACCTTTCTGTTCTAGATCTCTTCTCAGCCAAATATCTGAACCCATGGATACTGGTGCTTTCACAGTATTCTCTGAAATAACCATGAACACTTTTACCAACAATTCCATCTTTTTGCCCCATTCTGATAATTTATGTCCATGCGTTGTTGGAAAGATATATTATATTGACTCAAATGAATGACTATGAAAACAAAACAGGAGTGTCAGGAAAATTCCTGATATATCATCCGCGCGCTACTAGCTATATAGGGTGATTCATGTGGCGATTCACATAGCCAAACGGTGAAAAGGGGAAATCAAGATGGGTGTATGTTTATACAAGGTGTATCTAGATAACACCCAAATAATTCAAGGGCCTCGTGATATTTTTGAAAATGAAGTTCACATAAACATGTGATCCAACTTGCTTCGTTCTTGCGTGATAAAGGGTATTAATATTTCCATGAAAAATCGGTTTTTTATTCATTAAGTATACTCAATTGTCGATATTTATGGTGATTGTCATTTTACACCACCGTTTCTTTCTGAGTTTCATATTTTCATAGGATTTGCACTGAGAGAATTTTCCATTAGTATAGTTGAAAAAAATTGCTTCATCACAGCAGAGAATATCTGCAATGAATAGGCGTCAATGCAAATTATTTGCTGAAGTAAATGGAATCATCTTGCTGAAAAATATCTATTTGATGTGAATAGATAGTTTCATTATTGTTTAGTACTTGCCTGGGACAATAACGCAATCCTACTTACGGCAATAGGTCGTCTATTTATCCTTATTATGCTGACTCATCTGTATCAAATCGGTTGACTGTTTTATATTACATGGTTTTCTATTGAATTCTTGCTAACACAGGAAGTTTATTTTGTTACTCCTGATAGATTTTCGAATAATATAATAGGTAGGTAACTCAAATTAACTCATAAGGTGCAACGTTCATCTCCTTTGTCGTCGTTCAAGGTAATGAACAGGAAATTGTGTGCAGGTGGTTATTTTCATAGCGCATAATCTTAGCGCATGCGCTCCTCAACAAAAACAAATAGGTCATCAATTAGGAGTAGGTAGGTTTATATTTACTCCAGGAACGTTAATAGGAGAGAAAATAATAGTGAATAGTGGTAGGTAGCTACGCATGCGCACAGCTGATATAAGCTATTGGGCAGATTCGGCAAACGTTCTTTGAGACACATCCAGTATCCATGATTGAATGGCTCGTGACAACAACAAGTTTGAACATGTCTGTTGGATGACTCATCGGCCACCTGCGTCAGAACAATGGACCCATTGTTCTCACACAGATAAGGATGATGCAATCGGATGAGGTTGTTACGTAATCGGACACCTGCAAACAAAGGCGGCATTGTTCTCGTATAATATTGCGTCGCAATTTCCCAATAGCCGGAATTCCAAGAAACGCTGTGGCGTAGAAAGAACAAAGGCGGCATTGTTCTAGAGGAATGCTAGATAACATATGGCAAACAAAGGCGGCATTGTTCTATGAAGTCGAGATAAGGATGACTCATCGGACACCTCTCCAACATGCATATCGGGTGACCTTGCAACAAAGTGCTACCAATTGTACTAATACCAACCTAAATCTGGTGAGCACAGTCACTAGATTGTGACGTCATCCATCACCTTTCAAAAAGAAGAAGAAGAATGTCCACGCCCATAAGCACTAGAGTCTAGGGGGCTAAGTTCAGAGTACTTCCACGTGTCATTCCTTGTGTTCCATGTCATCTGTCACTTGTCATCTGTCACTTGTCTGTCATCTGTCACTTGTCTGTCATCTGTCACTTGTCTGTCATCTGTCACTCGTCGTCTGTCACCTGTCACTCTTTGTGTTCCATGCCATCTGCCACTTGTCGTCTGTCACCTGTCACTCTTTGTGTTCCATGCCATCTGTCACTACTTGTGTTCCATGTCACCTGTCACTTGTCATCTGTCACTTGTCATCTGTCACTTTTCATCTGTCACTTGTCATCTGTCACCTGTCACTCTTTGTGTTCCATGCCATCTGTCACTCCGTGTGTTCCATGTCACCTGTCACTTGTCATCTGTCACTTTTCATCTGTCACTTGTCATCTGTCACTTGTCATCTGTCACTTCCGGCGGCCATCTTGTGACGTCACTTCCGTGCAGCCAACACCTTCTACCACAGGAACGGTTGTGACGTCACTTCCGGCGGCGGCCATCTTGGGCTGAGGCGAACGTAGGTACACTACTAATCCACCTATTCCAGATAGACAACTTAGTGAGTTAAATTATGTGCGTTTCAGCAAAGTCAACCTGTTCACGGTAGATGAAGGCCTATTCGTACCAAATGGAGAAATCATTTTGAAACCAGTCTTATGAAGTGCATTTTCCAAAAACAAATCGATATTATGCTAGTTCAGAAAAAAAGACTAAGCAAAATGATTGTATCTGTACTTGTTCGCTCATAGTTCCAGACTAAACAATTATTTCTCTCTCATAGCATAAAATCCATGGAATACAACATACATATGGTTTCAGCAAAGCACTTGATTTGGTCGATTTCTTTCAGTGTGAAATGAAAAATTTTTTCACCTGTGTAATTTTCGTATCTAGCTCAATTTTTGAAGAAACAATAAAATCTTGATTTGACTCCAAATTTTGATGTAGGCGTGTTCTCAAGACTTCCATTGAAATAACTCAATAACTTCAATTAGAGTCATTCTGAAATTTCGGGGCTTTCACAGTCTCCCACTGAATGTTCGCACCATGAAAGCTTATACAGGGAAAGGTTCAACCAAAAACAATTAATACTTTAAACTTCAACATCCTCTGTATTTTAAAAACAAAGCAAGTAAGGACATATGTTTATATGAACTTTATTTGCTAAAATATCACAAGATATCTCTACTCTAATTTTTCCGATGTTATTCAGATACAATTTCTCGATGTACCACCATTTCACCTGATAAAGCTACTGTGTTAGCGCAACATGTCATTAAGAATTTTGTCGAAATCTTATCGGTTATGAGATTCTCACATTTGCTATGGATTTCCATCAAGTTACGACCGAGTCGATTAAAAAAGATTTCATAGGATCTAAAAGATTCCAGAAGATCTCGAACAAATACGAAATTAAGAAGCATAAACAATAAATAGAAAAATGTCTCATCAATAGTGACAGGTTACTCATACATCAATCAATCAATCAATCAATTCAATCAATCAATTTATTTACCACAAAAATTCAATTAAACAGATACAAAATTTCTCGATACATTGGTAAATAAATAGCAAACGTCCAAAAAAAGGTTGCCCTTGAACATGGACGTATAGTATTAGCGTGAAAATTAATAATAAAATTACAAATAGGTATATATATAAATATAGAGTAGAGATAAAACAAATAGTAGAACTAACTAATATTAATATCATCAACTCAGACGGAGAAGTACTTCAAACAGGATGTTTAGTTCTTATAACCAATGAGTTCAAGGGATATTATATAATATTCAAATTCAAAAAGGAAATGTTCGATTTCGATGGAATAACGTCATTTCACTGGGAGTTTTTCAGCTGCATGCGCACTCGTCCCCAAAGAACACGCCGCAGTCATACATAAACTGATACTTATAAAGACTACACACTGAAAGGAAGTTCAAGTGATCTGTGCTGTATGTACTCATCTGGTGGCAATATAGTTAACATTCATCATTGAGTATTCATTCATTCAAAATAATTCAAGAATTACAAAATGTACTCATTTTCATTTTATCATGTTACTCAATTATGTAATTAGGCTAATTATGTTAACTTTCCTACTATTGGTAGGTGCAGTATATAATATCAATCTTTTTATTAATATCATTTTTATTATCACTTATTATAATTTCATTATTATTATCATTATCATTAATATTATTATTTTCAATATTATATCACTCGTGAACTGAGCTTCATGTTTTTGACACACTATTGCAAGTGATAAGGATGTATTTGCTCTTTCTTCAATATTGCTATAATGTTTATGTCCGTTGAAGTTTTAATGTGATATACATATTCTTGGATCTGGAAATATTTCATGGTATTTTGCAGCATTCGAATTTTCATCGTGTTAGGTATTCGAAATATAAAGTGGCATCTTATTGAGTGCAAGAATATTCTGATTACCAGTGATTGTTAACAAACTCCAGGTCATATCATGAAATGCAAAACATGGCCTACTCGAATACCAATTCATAGAATGGAATCACGACTTCAATATCTATCTAGAATATCGACTCACTGACATTTTCAATTGTTTCAATAGAGCGCAACGTCACTGCAGAATTTCAGAAGATAACGACGAACCATTTTTGAAATATCACTCATCATTTCACATAATACCTTCGTCATGAATGGTCAGAAATTGGTCGATAATTTATATACACCAAATTGTCCGAATTTTCCCTACTCACCATTTTTTGACTAAGTGAGTCTCCTCATGAATCACCTTGTATAATATCGAATAATCATCATGACAGGTTCATCTGTTTTACTTGGCACTGAATTCAAAATAATTAATTAAAGCTTGCATGAATTGAATGTACCTAGGTATTATTAGACCTTTGGGGAAACAGGGTGGAGTAAACTCCATATACCAACATACAGTGTGGCACATTCGAGACCGGAACATCACCATGAATTCAACAGATTTCAACCAATTCATGCATTCGTTTCACATACAGAGTATCAAAAAGTGTACAAGATCTATTGCCAAATTTCATTAAAGGAGTTTTATTGGCAACGACGTCACTACAACCTTCAACCTTTTATTGGAGATAGAAAACAACAACTCCATCATAATTTATCAATCAGCAAGTAAGGTGTTCCTGCCATCAGCGTTTTCTTGAAAATTCTGGACAATATTAGACCATAACAAAAATGCAGATGTGTTGTTTAGTTATACACCTAGCTGAGTTCTTCGAAAAAATAACTTCATTTACAACTATGGAGTAATTCATACATTGCTAAATCGAGTTTCAACATTTCATGACAGACATTATTGTGATGAATCGATTAATAGTGACAGTAGGATGACGTAATAATCTGACATCCCATCGTCTTGTCAAATTCAACTGGGTAGGTATTCGTTCTACTAGTTCTACTAAAACACACAACTATACTACTGTTTGCGAAA